TAATATTAATAATAATGTTTATTTGTATCCCACTTTTCTCTCCATAAGGAGACTCAAAGCGGGCAATGTTAAAAGCATAACGATGCATCATGTGAACATCTTCATACTTCTATCAATATCAATAAAGCTCCAATCCTCATTGTCAGAATTCTGAATATGTTCTTAATCCATGTCTGCCCAGGATTGTCCCCATGTAAGCCGTCCCAAGTCCCTTTGGGAAGATGGAGGCAGGGTATAAAAAATAATTATTTTTAATATTCTTGTTTAGAAGTAAAGTCAACGTCATGTCCATCAATGGCACTTACTTCAAAGCACTTACTCTGAATCTTTTAAATGTACAAGGTCTTCAATACTTCCTGACCTTTATTAACCTTATGGAAATAAAAATGTGGGGACCAAATAAAGAATAGAAAAAAGGAACAACCCTACTAAAATGAGAAAATTTTACCAACACCAAAACTTTCAGCTTAACATATTGTGTGAAATGATTTCTTTCCATGTTGGTTCAAATTAAAAAATATGGGAAATTTTTATGTTCAGCACCATGTCTTTGATAGTGACATCATTTAACTAATAGGCTAATATCCTAAAATGTAGTAAATTCCAGATTTGTCAGTATCTTGGAGCTGGATGTCTGTCAGCTGCAGATTGGTGAACCCAGATCTGTGTTCACAAGAACAGATGTAAACGGTCTAGATAGGTAAATATACAATTCCACATTACTTGCAATCAATATCACACACATAGAATGAAATAAGTGGAAAGCTGATTAGTCCTGCTACCACCCCAGTTTTAGAATATATGTATAAAAGTGCCCATGCTTCAGAAATAAAAGTCTATTCTCCATGCACCCAGTGTCTTCAGAACAGTGGTTACTCACTGTCCAACTTGTAATTGTGGGCTATTATGTTAAAATAAACCAAACATGTGTCATTTATAATCTCACATTCACACGTCTAGAAACAAAGCCTGAGCCCACCAGCTCTTTGTACAACATATATACATACCCCTTCTTCTCACTGAGCTGTCATTCCTAATTTGTAAAGAGAAGTCACAGCAAGTTATAATTAGTACTTGCTGCCCTGTCAACCAATTAAATGTAATAAAAAGCTTTTGAGGAGGTTAATACTGACATGGGTGTAATTAAAATGTGTATTTTAAACTGCATAGTGTATGTGTATCAGCTGTTTTCTTTGTGTATCACCCTCCCTGCCCCTTTTTTCTCATCTGATGTTCTTGTGCACCTATCATTTCTTTGAAGTTGAAACCCATTTACCCATGTCAAGAGTTCACTAAATCCACCCAAAGGAGAACAAAGGAAATGCAACAATTGCTGCTGAAATGATGAAATAAGGAAGGCAGTTCTCTTAATTTTTCCAGCACTTGTTTAATAGGAAAGACCACTTGCTTCTATCTTAATTTCCCATGAGATTTCAGGTCTTTAAGATTTAACATTCCCCTTCAATTATTTTAAATCAATTTTTAAACCCCCTGTTTTGAACTGCTGTAAACCAAAAGATGCTCCAAGGCATTCAACACCAATCAATACATACTGAGGAAATGCACACTGTGACTGCCATCGAACTATATGGGATGAAGGGATCAAAATTCCAAGATAGAGTGGAGAAAACGTTGGAGAAAAAAATGGAGCATGTCTGCAAGATGGACCAAGCCCATTTAACCAGAAGGTCATATGGGGTGAAAAGGTGCTTCCATTCACATTCTGCAATGCCTACAGTCCCTTAGGATACATTAGTCCATATTAAATGAGGTGATAGCTCTTCATCAGAAAAAAAGGAAAATGGAACAGATATCAAGCTGCATTGTTACTACCTGAACCTGGAAGATGGCATGAACAAGAAATTATTATAAAACAGATGCTTAGGGTGGAGAATGACAGAGCAGCCTGGTGGTGACAGCTCCAGGTATTCAGACCATGCAGACATTGCATTCCAAGCATTTCAGAACTATGTAGTGTTGTACTCCTTGCAGCTTTCCACTCACCACAAAGTTTTAAGATGAAAGGTAGCTGGCTAGCTCCTGAAACAAAGATGTTATTCAGCCAACAAAAATATAGCCTGAAAGAATCCATTAAAATGATGAAAATCTTTAAATTTTTTATTCAGATATAATTGTACGGACACGTGTATATACAAATACAGATTGTATGGGTTTGTTTCGGGTTGTTTTGTTTTTCTTACAATTTCTGTTTAAGTTCATATAATGTAAGCATTTCAAAAACAGCACTCAATGAATAAGTGCAAAGAAATTGCAAAGCAGGGCAGTACAAGCACAGGACCACACTGAGCTGGACTTTCATACCCAGAAGGACACACAATGAGTGGTTTCAATAGGGTGTCAAGAGTAAGTATGGAAAGAGGATTTTGTAAACTCATGGGTAACCTCCAACATGCCAGCATCTATTAAACTGTACAGACAATGGCAGCGAGCCCATTGTAGGGAGATTTGTCTCACATCCGAAAAACCCAGGGGTGAATGCATGGGAAAAACTTGGTAATGCCAAATCAGAAACAGATCTGCCCATTCACTGCTCCAAATTCCAAAAGGGGTGGAAGGAGAAAGGAGAACTTGCTGGAGTTGGGCAGCAGGGAAGCGAAAGAACAGATTTGATACAGGGCACTTGCAAAGTAAAACTATCGAATGCATGTAATCTGACTGTAGTATGAATGAGTCCCATGTTTTCAAAACTTCCAAAACTGACACAGCCACTGCTTTTGTAAAGCAATTGATAAATATCAGTTTTTTAAAAATAAAAATGATCAGATTCCCTCAACAGCTACTGTTCCTTTCCCTCAATATTGGTTACATAGGAAAGAAAATTATTTACATATGACCCCTGTCACACTGTGTTATTTATTGGTTTGGGGAAATCAAGTCACTGTACATATCACATATGATGCTGGCAAGGCCCCTTTTAAAACAAACCATCCAATGAAAACAAACTAACAAAAGATAAAGAATTGGAAAATCATCATCCTGACAAAAAACAAGAATTAAACTCCAAAGCCTTCAAGAATCAACATGCTAATGGAAACCCAACCTCAAAAGTAAAGGTCAACACAGGGCTTCAACTTCCAACCATTAACGCGGAGGACAAAACATTGATCATCAAATGTCACACTACTCCGAGTCCTGACACTGTGAAATCTTGCATCTGGGTGAATGGGTCGCATGGGTGAATCCTGCATGATGGCCTGTTGTGGCTACTTGTCATTCAGTCCTTGATAGCCATGACAGCTGAATCTGTCATATAACTGGTTGGTTTACTTTTTTTAAAATTTAATTTTTAATATCATGAAAGTCTATTTTTCTCACTTACAAAAGACATAAGAATCAAATTAATACTTTATTATCAAACACTATATACAACAGAGGCTGCTAATAATACAGAATTTAAAGAACATTGCATTTTTTCATATGTTTAACTTGTCTTTCCTTTGCCATCCAAGAAAGTACAGTACAAAACAATATCTCTAAACTAACACGAAATGTTACCTTGTTGTCTATTAAAGGATACACAGTATCCACCAAACAGATCAAAATCCTTATTTCCCTGCTACCCTTTGCAAAGCCCTTTGCAAACCAGGAGTAGATGACACAGGGCCAGCATGCCTGGGTTTAGGGGCCATTGTGGTGGCATTCTGCATGTTCGGTTTCATGCTAGGGGACAAGAGCTGCTGTAAACTTTCCCATTGGCATCTTTTTGAAGATGCCAACAGAACACACACACACATACACACACCAGAGATTCAAAAAACCTTCAGACTGAGGTTGCCTGATGCCATCGTGTTGTCCAAAAAGTGGAGGTCCTGTAAACTTACTGCCCACAAGGCTTGCATTTGATGCAGTGCAGCAGTTAGGCTCTTGACTGTAATACACGGTCACTTTTATACATTGGATTTACCAGTGGCACTGTGGCAAAGCAAAGGGCTGAATTCACTGTGGTGAAAACTTGTGTTTTTATAAAGCGTGCTCTTGAGACAAAAGTGAGTCCAGTCTATCATTAGAGATGAAATTGGTAAAACAGCTATCATCCTTGTCAACATCAAATAAGATTTTTTAATTCAGTACTACTCAGGTTTGCAGTTGGTGTCTGGTGTACAGCACTCTCTTCTTCTTGCTTTACAGTCTTCAAGATCTTTTCTAGCTAATTGTGTGCTCCAAGTATATACACTAGAGAAGATATATTGTATTTTGAGGAAAGTAGTAGCATCCCTCGGTGGAGACTGTGACACTTTTTGGTTTGTGTGCAATAACAGACATCTCTTCGCTTACAAATGCAGCCCACGTCGTATGGTATCAGGCAAGCCCAGAGTGCCTTAAATTTATTTCTTTTTCTTTTCTGATATTTTTGGATCTTAACATCCTTCAGCCAAAAATAAAACATCTGCATTTTCTTCTCACAAAACAAAGACATTTACAAACTGCTGTTTGTATGGTAATTTAGACCTAAATATAACTTAGTCCCATTTACAATAGACCTATTCAATCAATGGAATTCACTGTTGACCAAGTCCCCATTCATTCAATAGGTCTGTTCTAGTTAGGATCAGCAATTGCATTTAGACCTTAGTATTCAATTATGCTTATGTTATCATGTCAAAATATAGTGGAACCTAATCCCTTTCTTGTAAGGCTTTATAGGAAGGAAAACCGATAGGGTAGGGAAGGTAACTTTCCAAAACAGTTGTTTCAATAGTCTTTTTCGTTACTCAATTTCTTGCAAGTGAATTTTAAGGCCTGCCTACTGTAAGCCAATGGAAATCCATAGAGAAGGCATTTCCTGGTAAATGGTTTATGAGGACCTAACAAGGCTGTATTCAACCCCTGATTTCAACCAGACAAGACAGTATCACATAATTTTAACTTAATCTTACCACTTTTAATCATCTTTAAATAGGACAAGCATATATACTTACTTTCAGCATAAGGTATATCTAAATAATGTATTTTCTATTCTAGTGGGGTTTCTTTTTAAAAAAAAAAAACAATAGTTAAAGGTCTTTGGGAGTCCATCTAGTTGATCTCCTGCTGATGTAGACATTTCCTCTACTTTTCAACTGTGTTGGAAAGGAAGAGAGATATAAAACCTGTGCCTGCATGTTCACTCCAAAGTTCAACATACTTTTCCTATTCTTTTCATTACTCACCCCCATTCCCATCCTGTCCTGGTCCTTCTCTGGCAGCATTTTATTCCAATGATTGCCAAACTTTCAAGGGAGGCACATCATGAACACTCTGGGGAATCTGTACTTCTTATCAGGCTTATTTCACCCAGTGTTATCATCTAAGCATGCATCATCACCCAGAGTGGTGTCCAAGGCTATTGGCTAGTAGGTCAGCCTTGGGAAAGGTCACTTTATTCACACACAAAAGAAAAGGAAAAAGGTTAAAGAAAATGCCTCTTTGCATTTGAAGGGAAAGTATATATATATATATCATAGCACCATGGTGATCTGTTTCAAAAGAAAAGTAATCTGGTGTGCACTATCCACTTAGAGAGATAATAGAGGCACTCACACCCCAGTGTAGCTTCCTAAATCTGACCTTGCTTGTGTGCTAGCATTTCTCAGTAGTCACTTTTTTTTTCTCCCCTAATGACACAGCTTCTGTTGTGGAGCACAAGTTCTACTGTCAAAGATGTTTCAAAGTAGTTGCATACAAAAGAATGTCTCTTCCCTCTGAGAAGCCTGTTCACTGAGAAATTCCTGGAGGAAATGGTGTTATGCTATATCTATTCTTAATATCTTCCCTCCAGTCCTGACATGGTGACACAGTGCCTTGCGCGATCATCTTACAGTGCTGAACAAGAAGGAATAAATATTGTATTGAAGAGAGTAAAGAAAAAACTCCTCTTGGTGTTCCAAAGAACTTCCTTATCCTCCAACTGCCTGCATCTGCTATTATTCTTTCTTCTCCACACACAGATGGCCCAGCAAGCTAACGGAGGCGATATCGCAAGAGGCTGCAGAGGAAAGTAAGAATCACTAGTGTCAATATTGAAATTTGGCATTTTCATTTGGAGTCCTTTTATTTTAGAAGGGGTCAAGGAAGGCTGGGGAAAGACTGGAAACAGGAAGAGGGCCAGTGAGGCCTCTCCCATTTTTGTTCATAGTCCAGGCTGCAGAGGAATAAGGGGTGGAGATTGAGGGAGGAAAACAAACCAACATCTGCAAAAGCAATATAAAGTCCCATTCTTAGGATGAGCAGATAAGTGGATCTTTGATGTTCCAAGATCCTGGTGTTGTCTGTGACAGCTTGCTTGAGTATGTGCTATAACGTCAAAAGCATTGCCAGGAGGAACAGTAGAGTCGCCAAAAGCCAACTGGATATCCTTGGTGTATGTGCTGCATTCTCCCCACGGGATGGCTCAGCTGATTCATGTACAGTGTCATCTGTTCAAACAGAAAACATACATTCTAATGAAGTTTTGCATTCTTAATGAGCACTTCAGATAATGCCACAAGGACATTTCAGAACAGTCAAACAAATTTTGTGATTTTTAAAGCTGGATATAGCTCAGCATTTAGACCAGAGGGCTACCTTACATTCTTTCAGTCCTGCTAAATGCTGTTCTTTGCTTTTAAACTTGACAGCACCAAGAGCAAATACACATTATTTAACAATGCAATTTGCAAAGAGATTTTTGCTTTAAACTATGCTGCAAGCTGGCCCTGCACCTTGTGCCTAAGGAGAGGAAAATCTAGGCTTTTTAAGATGCTCTGCTGCAAAAAGTTGATACCACAAAGGTGGTTTAAGTGTCAGAACAGAGGACATGAAGGAGAGCTCAATAGAGAGTGAATGTTGTCCACTTCTGAGCAAAACACATATGTTTTCAAAAGCATACATTTTTTTCTTTCAAAGAAATCCAATATAATATTAGCTGAAATGTTGAGCAAGGTTTCAAAGGAACACTTTCTTCACATGTCATATAGTTAAACTGTGGTATTCCATAACTTTACACTGGTATATGTTCTACCTCAATATGCGTTATGACAGTATTTCCTGCCCAGTTTACTGTATTGTTGCACTTTCCTGCACTCCTGTAAAGATGCATTGCATTCATTGAATCTATAACTCAGCTATGTTTCTTTCAGCCGTATTGTTTTTATATTGCTTTCAATTGTGCTATTATTTGTTTTTATCTGATGTTTTAATTGGTTAAGTGTTTACATGTGTGTTTTAATTGTAATTTTGGGCGTGTCCCTTGTAAGCCGCCCCGAGTCCCCTAGGGGAGATGGTTGGCGGGGTATAATAATAAAGTTATTATTATTATTATTATTATTATTATTATTATTATTATTATAACGAGATGTAGTAATTGCTACTGATTTGGTTGGCTTTAAATTAAGAGTTATACTGTTTCATGAAGGAAAGTTTATCAAAGGCTGTTAGTCATGACCAAAGTATATTTTCAAAGGCAATATATTTAATTATTACCAGTTTCTGAGGAATAAAGGCAAGATGGTACTTTGATCTTTGTGAGATTCAAATGGGAATCTGCTTGGGGACCGTGAGAATACCATGCTGGACTCGTAGGTCTTTGTGATCTTTGGCATAACCCAGTTATCATTGTTGGTTAGATCAATTGAGCTCCATTATTTCCCTTGAGTTCTACTTCATTACAGAAGTGAAGTAGTGCAGAAGCATTCAAGTATACCAAGGAAAGCCTGCTGGTAGCTGACTATCTGAGGAACTCCACAAGCTCTGAATTATCACCACATTTGAATAGTTCCGATAACACTTCAGAAAGCAGACATGAGTCATAGCTCAAAGGTATTGGGCAAACAGCAAAGGCTCTAACTCACTGGGTTTATAAAGATTCTAGATCAAACCCCCGGCTGTGAAAGACTTCTGTTTGAAATTCTGGGAACCTGGTGACAGCCTGGTCTACCCTAGAAGAGCTGGAAGATCATTTTCCACTTTAAGCAGCTCCCTCTCTCTGCTAAAACCAGAGTTGGTCTGCATTTAAAATCTATTTTATGTGAAGGCTTATTTGAAAACATGCTTGTTTTGGAAACAAAATATTAACAGGTAGTGGACCTCAGTTTGAAGAAGAATCACTTGGACTGCATTACTATCCATATGTTTTAAAACTTTTTTTTACTAGAGTTCAAAGACATAGCCATGTTAGCCTGTTGCAGTATGAAATATTTAAAGGAATCTTGCAGCATCTTTGAGACTGAGAAAAAGGAATTTTTAGCAGAAGCCCTCATGGATTCATACATGACATATTTTACTAGGTTACTCAGGGGACTGCAAAACCCAATCAAGTACAAATACTCAGCAAGATAAACCAATGGTCTGATTCAGTATAAAACAGCTCTGTGTTACACTGGCAATGGGGTACTAAAACAGTGATGTGTTCATTCAGAAAGAACTAAAAGCCTCAGAACAATGTGTGGATGGGTTTTGTGTTTTTATGAAGATTAAAGGTTTATCTTTTTTTTTCAAAGCATCATATCGCCTTTCCAAAATTATCCAATAAATTGGCAATGAGACTTTAAAAAAAACATGGGGAAAAACACAAACAGCAGCATTATAACAAATCATAACAACAGTTGGAAAACACAAGCTAAGGGGGTTATTTTGACATCCTCCACGAGATTGAGGAGCAGTCACAACTCTAAATTGAGTTGTGATTCCAAAGTGTCAAAATAGTATGAGGGAAAAATCTTTCCCAAAAATTAAGACATGAAGGCTTTCTGCAAGCTCGGGGTGATGGTGGTGCATCCTCAAAAGGGCTTTGCCCACACATTTTAATAACTGGGCACCTTTGTACTGAAACAGACAGACCTTCTGACAAACAGGCCCAAAGTTGTTTAGTGATGAAAGCAAAGTTCAACAACTTAAAGTGAACCAGGAGAAGACTTGGAAACGAATGCAGATTTTCTTTTCAGTTTTGAAGCAAGGTGATCATGATGTGATCTATCAGTTGGTGACTTTTTGCGTCACTGAAGCCACTGGTACTTTTAAAAGTACAGCACATTAAAATGGCCAATGCAACCAAGTCATGAATACCTCTTATCAAATCAGACTAACTCAGGAACTGGTGCAGCTGATGCACTAAGCATAGCTCTGCAAGACATCCCTCATTGCCATTAGTACATGAAAGGAGAATGCAGGATCTTGGAGTCTATTGATGAGTTCTTTCTGGGAGTGTACGACATCACTGAGCACAAGTTAAAAACCAATCCATGGCAGATTTTCTGCTTACTAACAGCATTTCTGTCTTGACTGGATTTATTTTCATCTTCTTCAAGCTCATCCAGTCTACCACCATATAGAGCACTGACCAGTACCAAGCAATTAAGAGAGAGGAATCATCAACTTAGTGAAGGCACCTCACTCCAAAGCTCTGGCTGACCTTTCCCATGATGTTTTCTAATTTCACAGCACAACTACTATCACTAGGATTCAAAGAACAAGCAACTAGTTTCTGTGCGCCTTATGAAGCTTGTGTTTCTCCAAAACTGAATAAAATAAGCAGCCCTTCATGGAACAGTATTGTTCAAAAGCAAGAAAACTTCCCAATTAATTTTGTAACAAAACCTCTCATGGAAATGGTAGTGGTTATAATGGTGGGGAATGTAAACCTTTGAGATAGAGCTAAAGTTTATTTTCAGCTCCTGGCCACTGTTGCCAATAGCATCAATTAAATGGTAAGAATAATAAATAAAAATCTTTTAAAACATGTCTTAATTATTACCATAAACTAAATATGAATGTATGAAATAGTATTATGTCTCACTCACTACCATTACATAGTATTCAGTACACTAGTGAATTCTCCTAAACTCTTAACATGATTGCTACAATTGTGGCAGGTTGTGTTTGTGTAGAGTTTATGAAAGGTAAGTTCACAGGTGAATATTTTACAAATACAACATGTAATTAAAATTCAGCTTCCCTTCCAAATATTAAGGTTTCTTTAGGGTTCTGATTTTGTATAAAAATGTGCAAAATCTTAATTGAGCTCCCAATTATTAAGCAATAAATACCCTTCTGGTCCCAATTGATCTTGGAAGCTAATGAGAATCTGGCTTTCATGAGTGCCTGGATGGGAGAATGCCAACAAATAATAGGTGCTAGCTATGTTTCACAAGAAGGAACTGCTTTAGAAAACATGAAATTCAATGGATTGCTATAAGTCAACAGGTGACTTGAAGGCAAGTGTGCACACATTGAGAAGGTATGTGATGAATGCTCAAGTAGAGTCTAGAATGCTTTTTACTTGCTTTAGAAAAGTGTGATCTTTTCTGAGGAAACCAGATATTACAATGCTTAGGCAAACATTAAAATTAATTCCTGTTAACAAAGAGTGTTTCTAGAAGATTGAGGATTTCAGAATACGTTGGTTAGATTATTGACCTCGCCTATAGAGTCTGTATAGATCATGCCAGTGATTATAAAACTGGCTACAAGTGTATTTCTGGGCATAATTCAAGGAATTAATGTTGACTGGAGCTTATAAAGTTAAATTTAAAAATATTAGTTACAGTTACAGTTCTAAACCTTCCCCTCAAACAATTAGTTCCCACCATTATCATTAACTTGCTTATGTGTGTTAAGATCTTCTGTAGAAGACTTCAATCTGGGTGCCTTTCTCTTTTGAAGTGAGGATGGTGCCTACCAGGAACTAAAGTTTTACTATAATACAGGAGCAGGAATCATGTAGCCCACCATATGTTGTTGAGTTACAGCATTATCATCAGCTCAATTGGCCAGGGCTGCTGGAAGTTGTGGTCCAACAACCTCTGGAAGGCCAAAAATTCTTAACCTTTGTCTAACAGCACCTGGATTTTGGATGCAAATTGAAGTTTGTTTGTCCAAATTTTTTGATGTCAGCAAATTCACTTTTATTGGTATATAAGTCATTTTCAGTTTACACTTATTATTGTTATAGTAATAAATGCATTTTATGTTTCATCCCTCCTTCATTTTTATCTATCTATCTAACTCATGGAGGCTAATTAAGTGAAAAGTAAGAACATAAACGTTTATAAAACAAATTAACAAATGAAACTAACAAGCAATTACCTGATTTGTACCCACACTTCATCCTCTGAGAACATGCACACTACAAATGTACACCATATAACTTGCACGTTAGTACACAGTTTAGGCAGCAAAATCCAACAGAACTATTCTTGTTAATGAAGCAGAATGCTATTGGAAATCTGTTAGCAATCTAGGAACTATTATAAAATACTTCCTCCTATGAAATGTTCAGGCCTCAGTAAAAACAGACTTTGCTGCACATTTTTTTTACAAGCTGCAATATGCTCACCTACTAATGGGCTTCCCCATTAACTCCACAGTAAGTTGCATCTCTAAACAGGCAGTAGGGATGCAGAGGGGAATCTGCCTTGTCATCAGAGTTGGAAGGAAGGCTTAGGCTTCTTTTCCGTGAGAAAGCTTTTATTAGGTCAAATAAAGTGTGTTTTTTGTCTGGTTATATCTCTGCACAACTATTCTTCACTAACACTTTGCACTGGATGTCACATTTTAGAAACTTTTAAAGCTACTAAAGATTCCTTTAAAAAAAACTACACAAAACTAGATCTACAATTCAGCAGCCAAGACATCTGGACAGTTCCCCAAAATTTCCCCTAATTTCAGCTACTTGCCATGTTCATACAATGGATTGGGTGAAAACGGTCCTAATAATTTTACTATGCTTTTCCAGAGAATACTTTTTTGTCTCAATGCAAAGGTTAAAAAAATATTTCACACTGTTTTTAACAAATGATAATATTGATAAGCAACATATTCTAGATGTCAGCCCTGTTCTGAAGTGAGATCACACTGAGCTTCTCAGTTCATTTAGGAAAAAGAAGAATATTTATATCCTCTCTGAAGCCTAGCTACAACCACAATGCAAACTCTGCTACTAGCCATACTTAGGGTCAAGTAATACATTTCCACAGTGTCACACAGTGCCCACAATTCACCCAATGCAAGTTGTTTTTGTTTTTTAATCCTGGGGCATGATGGTTAAAATGCTTCTAGTTAGCATTAACTGTGATTAAAGTCAACGGGGAAAATGAGGTAGAAAATTCACATGCAAGAAGGAATGGCTGGCAGGAAGGAATGCGTAACCCTGTGGTACACTCCTTACCTCTTAAGAATAATTAAGGGCATTGGACCTTAAAGACAAACTGCTAATATTAACATAGAGAACAAAGTAATGGCTACTTGAAAACAGTTGGCTTGCCATTCATTCTATGTGATAGAAAGCAAGAAACTTTCTCAGTTCCATAGGAGAAGCAATCAAAGGGGGAAATCTAATAAAATTCTGTGGCAGGATAAACATATGCTCAGGTGTAGAAGAAAATGTTTTTCAGGCTAAAGACTTGAAAAAAAAGTGACAAATACTGTATGGACATTTGTTGTTCGAATCTGACTAAATAAAAGTAACATCTGCAGACATATATGATCAGGTTTGTATAAACATTCCCTTGGCATTTTCATTATAAAGGGGCTACAATGGTGCAGAAGGTTAAACCGCTAGGCTGAAGAACTTGCTGATCAGAAGGTTGGCAGTTCAAATTCACAGGACAGTGTGAGCTCCCATTGTTAGCCCCAGCTTCTGCCAACCTAGCAGTTTGGAAACATGCAAATGTGAGTAGATCAATAGGTACCACTTCAGCGGGAAGATAACAGCACTCCATGCAATCATGCCAGGCACATGACCTAGGAGGCATCTATGGACAACACCGAGTCTTCGGCTTAGAAATGGAGATGAGCATCCCCCATCGCCAGAGTCGGACTCAACTAGACTTAATGTCAAGGGGAAACCTTTAGCTTTACTTTCATTATAAAACAATATTTGGCGGGGGGGGGGGGGGGGGGAGGAATCCCAATTCTCACCAACTGGAAAAGTCTTCTGAAGTAACATTAAAAGAAATACTTTTTACAAAAGGCTTGCAAAAATTAATGTTTTTGAAAGTAATTATTTGTACAGGATGGTTCCTTGTACACAGTCAGTTGACAATTTGTTTACCTGAATTCTTGAACTCATGAATTCATGCACATTTAGACTCATACGTATTTTAATGAGCACAATACAGCTAAAAGTATTCATTTGAATACCAATTCTTTTAATGGTGAGACTTATATATGCTCTTGATACCACTGGTTTTAAGAATGATGTAATAACGTTTGCTGACAAGGTTTCAACCTAACTGAGAGTATATGTTGGAAAGCATTTGAACTGAACAGGCAGTTTAAAACAAACAAACAACCAATTAGTAATGAGTTTGTGTACAGTAATATACATGCATATATTTACTTAGGTTTCAAGGATCTGCATGAATATAAAATGATGTATGATGTTGGAAAGGAGATTCCCCCCTCCCCTCCCCCCCCCCCTAATATGAGAATCTGTGTTTTCCACTGAAGTTAATGATGGGAGATACAGGACAGATAAAGAGAAGCACTTCTTCATGCAACACAAAATTGAATTGTGGCATGCACAGCCACGTGAATGTAGTTATGACTGTCAACTTAAAAGGGGATTGGAAAAATTCACTGAAGCATGGGAACTTCAATGGCTATATAGCCAGAATGGGAATAGATCACTTCTAGAATCAAAGGCAGTAATTTTCTCATATCAGGCTTGATCTACAGTGCCCTTAATTGCAGCTTCAGCATGCAGATTAACTGCATTGAACTGGATTATATGGCAGTGTAGAACCTCAGTTGCTTGAGCATATAAAATGGAGTGTGCAGATTCTTTCATGTCCTGCTTGTGGCTTCCCATAAGGAACTCACTGACCACTATATAAGCAGAATTTTGGACATTATAGGTCTTTGTTTGGATCCAACATGGATCAGCTCATATCCAAAGGGTTTATTTTACATATTAGTTTATGTGCACAGAAGGATAGATAATAACCTGGAAAAAACGCATTGTTTTAAACCTGTGAGGTTGATTATATTCATCAGGCTGTTCTGAATACTTGTTCAGTCACATAGCTCAAGCAGTGACATCTTTGCAAAGGAAGCAATATGAACAAAATTTTTGATACCAATAGGAGAATAGTATTTAGAAAAACACTATTTCACCTGCTGCATGTTGTTGGAAGGATGCCCAGAAATGTAGATGTTTTTAAATGAACACAGCAAACACATACACAAATACACATTTTCTCTCTTATATATATACCTCCTGAATGGATACTGTGTTGCGGCAACTTACTATAAAAATGGGGTGGCAATGGGGACAGAATAATACTAATTCTTTTAACTTTGAGATGTCATGTTTGAGTAAATAAGCTGTCATGGAAAAAAGCATACTTTGCCTCACATCTGTTACAAGAGGAAACTAGCATTAGCAAATGAGATATACCATAAGCAATATTAGCACTGCAAGAAATGAGCAAAAGCAGAGTCATTTTACCATGCAAACCATGCAGAGGGAAAGAGGGAAAGAGAAGCAAGGGATCAGAGGGATAGAGGCATTGGTTAAAAGAGATTCTCTAAGCATACTAACCTGCTGGTTCTAATGAATTTTCTACTTTGTCGTTAACATCGAAAACACGATCATGAACACCTATAGTTTTCATACAGTTGTCTATAACAAAAATAGAGATAACAGCCAAATATGTTAGTGAGAACACCCTTAAATTCCCCATTTTCCTTGTTTTTGTTGAACTATCTGATTCTATTATATGTATGTATTTATATCTTAGCTGTGGCATGCCTCCAAATGCCACAATTGTATTTTTGTACAACAGAATAAGAAACAACAAGTTAGCAACTGGTATGTACTTAAAACAAGAAAAAAGCTTTGTGAAAAAATGATAAAAGATATGGTGAAATCAACAGAAAAAAATGCCGCTGTACAGAACAGATACCACACAGGAATTAAGAGTAAAAAGAAGTTTCACTGATGTTTACCAGACCAAACAAAGCATGCGCTAAAAGCCACCCTCTAAAGCAAGAGCTAAAGAACTTACTTGCAGGTCGTACAAAGACTTTCAGCTTTAGACAGGATCTCCTTCCATTATTATCAGGGATTGCAGAGGCTGTTGAAAAGAAAATGGAAGGGGAGAGGAGAGGACACATGGTAAATGTTTGCCTTAAAAACATAATTTCCAACATCCTTCTTCTCCTAAAGCAACACAACCCAGGTACACAAATAAAGCAAAAATGTAAATTACTAGAAACATTTGGCTAACATCTAACTGTTATGACAATTTCCCTGTTTTTTCTTCACAAGTCAGGTAATAATGATACAAAAATAGAATATAAGGGAGGGGAGGAGTCACAAAATTGGCCCACTGACCTACAAACATGCTTCTCCAAAAAAGACAACACAAAATCTCTACAATCACGACTTGTAAACTGGAATTTAGCTGTTGGCCCTGTATTAGTAGGCCAGCTTATATAACCAAGCTATCATGAGAGAGATGCCTTAAATCCAGTTGTGCAGAGGTTAGTCTATATAGGAATCTATTTCAAAAGATGAGAAAGTCAGACCAAGAGAAGGTGTGTTACTGACATTATGAAAACGTACATTCCCTTACTACACCATGTGGATTCATAAAATATAGTGAAAATGTTTGCTTACATGATTCTGACTCATTAGGTCCACAATTCTGTTCTTTTATGTCTGATTCTATTTTAGAGTGATTAAGAAATTGTATTTCTTATATAAACTAGAAAAATATTTCACCTTCTTCCTTCTACAGTTGCCCAAAATAAAAGTGACAGACAGATAAAACAGTATACACACACTCAGAATGGAGGTCCTCATGGGGTTCCAAAGAAAGAAGGAAAGTGGACGAGGAAGACACCCAATGGCAGAGCAGGTAAGATTGACATGAAAACAAGGAAAGCTATTGCTTGATATGTATATGTGAATATACATACATTTGCATGCATGCCAGAAAAACAAACAAACAAACAAAAATCCACAGCTACTGCCATTGTGTACCCTAAAACAATCTAATACTGTGAATATGTGACGATGTTAGAAAATGACCTTTTTTGCCAACAGGTTTTTGTTTTAAGCCAATCAATATCAAAATTAAATACAAGGCACTGTTGTATATTCAGCTTGCTTGCTTTTCTAGAATCAATGTAAACACTATGAAAATTATGCAAGGACTGTACCATTTCAAGCTGCCAAAAAATCCCTCAATTATATCCTCTCCTGCACTCGAAAAACAATATTTCTGGAAGCAATTGTTCTAGGCCAGTCTTCTTGTCAGCTGTCAGTTTCCCCCCTTGATTTTAAATGTATAAGGGAAGTTAAATGCACAAGGCCTCCAACAAGCATGTATACACTGAGGAAAAAGTGGTTTTGTAAGGACTTCATGAATGCTCTAATCAGTATTCTAGGCGCAGAGCTTACTGCAGAAGGTTAAGGTCCAACTCTCGTGGCCTTTTTTCAAAGACTTAGCAGGGTAAAATCATTTTTACCCATCACTTTCACAGGCAAAGTCATCATTTCCATAAGTAGTCAAAAGTAACAATGTACAGAATTCTGATGGGGCTGAAGACTTTACGTTGCTAGTTCAGCATGATCAATATCTTGATTTCTGCCAGTTTTAGACATCTTTGTTCAGGGTACAGTAAATAAAGTGAAAAATACTTCAGTAAGAAAGGACACAGAAGTCGAGACAACAAAACCAATCAATTCACTTGAAGAAGCCAACTGCCCTTCCTTGGTTAGATAGCTTGGAAGGGTGAGTAAACTTGAAGACTTTAGGCTAAAAAAAATGCTATTGAGATAAGACACTGAGAGATGGTGTTTATGATAGACTTGCAATGGAGCTTGTTGACACACAGTCAACCAATAAGCCACAGCCATAAGCTTCAAGGTAAGTGGGGCTTATAGGGATTAAGGAGAAGGCTTGCACTTTAAAGAAAGCATGTGCTGCTTTGTAAAACAAGGGTACTTATTATCACCTAACATTTTAGCTCATTCCAAATGTTTTCATATTTCATGGTTTGATGTTTTCTCCCCCATGCACAATGCGTCTTGTGAACTTGAAGATGCATGATGCTGTTTTGCTTTTTCCTTTTTTATTCTCCTTAGATTTTCCCCAATTTAAGCATTATGAATCACTCCTCCTTCCATACCTTGATAGTTTCTGAAAAAAGATAGATAGGTTTACGAGGGAGATGAAGAAACTAAGAAAAAGTGGGGCAAAGGTTCAAATGGAAACAGGCAACATACGTTAAAGTGTCTTTTAAAATCACAAACACAACTGTACAGCAGTGATGCTTCCCAAGTCTGTGCCGTACTCACTGAAAGCAGTTAAGAAGTGCTAACAGCTGTCTTAGCTCCACTAAATCAAAGCTGGGGAGCAGGGGGGCGGAGTCTGTGACATCTACAGTAACTGATGTGTTACAGGGCACAGAACTGTACTCTGCAGGGGCTTCCAGGAAATTGGGTCCTTCCTGTGGCCCCTGAGGAATACACAAATCCTTCTCAAACCAGAGCATGCTGCTTAACAAGATAAGAACATTGTATTCTCTACCTGAAAACACGGATGTCATACACAACTAAATTGCTTCCTCTGTTAGCCTAAGCAAAAAAGTGCATTTGATTATTTCCTGCTCCATCCAGCTTTTTAAATGACTTTACAAATGACACTGAATGGAGTTTTTGGAATATTCAAAAGCAGTGTGTTAGTGTTTACATTCAAATCTTAGAACCTATTCATTGCTTTGGGGGAAAGGGAGACAGCATGAGCTTTACTGTTCTGCATATTACCTGGTGTATTTTTCCCTCTAATAAAGCAGAAAGACATTAATTTTCTTTGGCTTTCTTTCTATCACAACAAAAGGCAGCAAACAACATACCTTGGGCTTGTTCTAACCCTTTATTTCACAAATGACAACATTTTTACTGTAATCATTTGTATAGTTCAAAGAGGATATATATATATATATATATATATATATATATATATATATATATCTCACACACACACACACACACACACATGCACGCACACACGCGCACCTTTTCCCCAATCTATATTCTAAGGAGCCCCCAGCAGTGTAATTGATTAAACCCTTATGCCGGCAGGACTGCTGAGTGGTTTGAATCCATGGAGAGTGGGTTGAGCTCCTTCTGTCAGCTCCAGCTCCTCATGTGGGACATGAGAGAAACCTCCCACAAGGATGGTAAAACATCAAACATCCAGGTGTCCCCTGAGCAACGTCCCTGTAGATGGCCAATTCTCTCACACCAGAAATAATTTGCAGTTTCTCAAATTGCTCCTGACACGAAAAAAAAAAATCTATGTCCTTAAAAAATACACTACTTTAAAATTCTTAGTGGTCCCACAGACTAAGAACACAAAAGATATCCACACATACCAGCACGTTCTAATATGTAGGAACATTCATACCAAGCTAGTTTCATAGTCTATCTATCTACATGTCTTTTTTTTTCTTTTCCCCTTTCTTTGCTTCTTTTATTTAAAACAAAGTTATTATATTTGTAGCTTGGCATCACTTCTGTGACGTACTATTAGGTATTAAAGGGTGACATTCTACAAATAAGCACTCCTCTGGTTAAACACCCCCATAATGACCTATAAAGTGCTGCACAGCTTGGCTCCAGACCATCCAAGAGACTGTATCTTACAATATGAGCCTGCTTACGTTCTAAAACGTTTGGGGGAGAACTTTCTTGGCAAGTTTTAAGATGCTTGATTATAGGCAAGCTTTGTGAGGATACAGAAAAAGTAGTAGTAGTAGTATGTTGCCTTTTCTCTTAACACACTCAAAGTGGCAAGCAGTGCTAAAATCAATGCAATATAAAATTAAAATAGAATTTAACCAAATACTATTTAAACATAAACAGTGGCTGGTCCCCGGTTGTATAATTCTTTCCTAAGGGGAGTTAAATTTACCACCTCTCTACCCTCTTTCTGTTAGCAGGTGAGGACTTTTCCACTTACTCAGGTCTATTAGCGTTAATTGCCTGATGAAAAGGGTGTTTTAATTGGGATGTGCTATATTTGTATTTTAATCGTCATTATATTTTAACCACGTGTAAAAACTGTTTTAAATCAATATTTTAATTTGTTGTTGTTTTTTCATTTAAATGTTTTTTAAACTTTGGTACAATTTATTGTTTTAATTGTATTTTGTTTTAACTAAAAATGTGAACCACCTTGGGTCTCATATTAGAGAAATATTTCCTATGATGGAGATACTCTTGTGTCACAACTAGGTGATTTGCTATTTTGGGAAAATCTTTCTCCAGTTTTTTTTAAAATGAAATATTTCGAGGGGTTGCTTGACTCTCCTTCGCCCTTCAATGTACACACATACATCATATTTATAATTCTATATAAAATTAAATTAATGCTGAAGTATCTCTGAAAAAGGCAAAAGAAACTACAGGCACTGAAGCTTGTGTCCCATACCCATTTATCTTGTAACTGCTTAGATAATGCCCTTAATCAATTATCTTATAAAGTTTATACTTTCCAAGGAATCTTGCTAGAGGATACCATAAACAACACTCTTAGTATTTTGTATATCCAGGTCCTGCTCTATGGCTACTCAAAATATCCCTTGAACAAGGATCTTCATAATTTATTCTTTAAGCAGCCATGGCAGAGTCAAGTAAATGTATCCTCATTGCATTTATTTTACTCTCCTAAGTGAATTTTTCTCTCTTCACTTTTCTTTGTCTATCTATGGCAAACCATCTACAACACTGAATAGCTTATCTGAGGATTCCCTTGTCTTTGCTATAATGTCACAAGGCCAGATGTAAACCCAATGTGGTGAATGATGGGAACTAACCTAGATGCACCTGCTTCATCTTAAAATAACCAAGTAGAAATATTAGCTCCATTAGTATGTCATTCCTTGCTGGGAGAATGAAATCTGATCCAAGCGTTTTTCTCTTTCTTGACATTCTAAAAATTAGCTGTCTACAAAACTGGAATAGATACCTAGAAGACACAAAACCCAGCCAAGCAAACCCATTCTCCCATGGTCTGCAGTATCAAAGAACAACAATTGAGTAGAGAGATGAACCATCCTCATC